AGAAAAATTGCAATTATGACATGAGCTATTTTTTAAGTTGAATGAAATTTGCTACCTTAGTGTCCTTAGTGGGTAGTGAAATGTTACTAAGGTGGTCTACTGCAAAAATAACCGAAGAAACGATAGTTTGTACGCTAGATAGAGGGGAGGTTTAGAATTAGGCTAATCAAAGTTATACTCTCGGCAAGAAATTCGTAATTCAATATTTTGTTAGCAAGTTATCGATTGTACATTTTAATGAACTTGTGGAACATGCCACATAATATTAAGTACAAATAGAAGTCTTGTCGTGGCAATGTCTAGACAAAAGCACTACTAGAGCTGAAATGTATGAACAACTGCAACTAGGTGGCAAAAACAGAACAGAAGAAGGGTTCAATTATCCAAATTTTTGTAAATTTAAAAAGCAAAATAAAGCATCTGTATTTAAAAAAATAAAGCGATCTTTCTATTCAAAATATTAATTTAACGCCATAGTTTCTCAGCTCGTCAATGTAAACAAAAAACCCTTACACACTAACATATACATTCACAAAGTAGGTATTGTTCATACAAATTCACAGATTAATGCAATTTAAAGTCTCCAAAAAGTTTTCCTCTCTCAAAATTATTTAACTAAATAAACGGATGGGTATGTACGTGATGAAGGGAAAAACTTCTAAATTAAGACGCAAAAACTTACAACTGTTGTTTTGTAATAGAGATTTGACTTGTCAATATTTATCTTTATATATGTCCATATATAATTATTTACCTATATATATATGTATATAAACATGGAGTTTAATATTTGTGTGTACTCATTTATTAACCAAATATAAATACATATGTACTCCAGCTTAGTTTACTTCTGTAGTTGTTGTTGCACTTTAAGTGCAGTAGTTTTCCAATAGTTCTATAGAAATTCAAATTAGTAAATATAACTAATGTTGCTTCTTGGATACTCTCAATATAAGACATTAAATATTCATCTATTATATGCAAATGGTTAGATTGCGGCAAATAATTAAATGGCTTGAAAAGTAACAATAACAAATTTGAAGAATGAAGTGAATGTCTTGAGTTAAATTAGCAGCCGCTAATGATAATGCCTACGTTTTTCTTTTCAAGAAAATAAAAATTGCGTTTTTATATTACAAAAACACATAAGAGCAGTAATCTATACTAAAAAAACTACAAAGGTTATGTGATTTAAATTCTCTAATATATTTCTTAACTGTTTTAAAAGTATATTCAATCTCGAAAACGAAGCACATAACCCTTAAAAATATCCCAAGAAAATCATTTGAAGCCAATTTTGAGCATCCGCGATTATCAACTCTCATATTAAACATATTGAGTGCATATGGTCATGTTCTCTGAACGCAGGGTTATGCAAAAGTGTTCAAAACTGCCGACGGCAACTGACTGACTCTCACGTCACTGTTGACGGTCATAACTTTGAGGTCGTAGATAATTGCGTTTATCTTGGAACCAGCGTGAACACCACCAACAATGTCAGCCTCGAAACCCAACGCAGAATAACTATTGCCTACAGGTACCTTCGGGCTGAGTAGGCAATTGAGAAGTAAAGTCCTCTCTCGACAAACATAACCCAAACTCTATAAGTCACTCATTCTTCCCATATTAAATATCAAATATTTTCAAAGATCGAAAAGACAGCTATGGCAAGTTCTATATTTTACTCAAACAACCAAGCTTAAATATTAAAAGAGGGAAAGCTTATACCAAATTCTTTTAAAACCGAGAGAAAACTCCAGTTACTTTTGATCGATCAGTTTGTATGGCAGCTATATGCTACAGTAGTCCGATATTAATAATATGTAATTGTTGTTGTTTAAAATTGTAGCTTTGTCTTGGATAATAATATGTGACAAATTTCGTGAATATATCTTGTCAATGAAGAAGTTTTCCATACAAGGACTGAATGATCGTTCAGTGTGCACAGCAGCTACATATACATTATATTGTTCGATATTCTGCGATATTTAAGAGTGTGTGTAAAATTACAGATCGATACCTTCAGCATGGCCAAATAAGACGAATGGCTAATATGAAGTCTCTGACGTTTTCTCTCGGTGCCACAAACTTCTTGGAAAACTTAATATACCCTACTCAAGATATAACTACAGAACTTATGTAAGTAGTTCAGGCTCAAAGTTAGGACACAAATATCTCGCAAAAGTACACCGCTATGATATAATAGAAAAATACTTGAAATAGAATAACAATAATGATACTTTTTTATGGGCAATTGCTATATCTTAACAGAAAAAATCACTGAGTCATCTATGTATACATTATAAAAGAAATAAGAAAGGTTTAAGTTTGGGTGCAACCGACAACTCTTTTTGGAAAAACGAAAATTGTTATAAGTAGTATGTGGGAGTTGGATGTAGTATCGGCCCGATTTTATCTATTTTTGTCGATACTACATACTATTAACATGTTACATGCTAATAAAATGTTCCCTGAGATTTATTAAGAGTACCTCACATACCATCACCAATCATATGGTGCAAAGTCAACTGTACATATGTTCTATGGTTGTTAGATGGCGGCCAGGTCAATTTTTCAAACAATTTTATGAATTCTAGGCTCAAAGACACATTGTTATCAGTGAAACATACTCTCTCATTTTCATTGAGATAACTGACATGTTGGCCCATATATGCGGTATAAAGTCACCTGAAATTTCGAATGTCTTTATATTAGGTGTACGGGGGCTAAAGGAAGTATGGACCCCTTTCAAACCTTTTTTGATACACAGAGTTATTATTGAAAGTAAGGGATACGCTCTGAATTTCAGTTGTATATCCCATACACTAAACTTTATTTATTTATTATTTATTTATTTATTATTAACACTAAACTTTATTTTTGGTCAAAAGTCAACTATTGATATTGGGGTCCACATATTCGGTACCTAGAGGCTTAAAGAGGCAGTTTTTGCTTGGTTTCGTTCATTTTCGCACTGAACTTTCACACTCGCACTAAATCCTCTCATACCATTTCGGCGGTAAAATGTTATGTCTCTGTCGTATTTAGTTACTGATCTATAGCATTTTTCGTAGTTTTAAACAGTACCGTTATATGTGAAATGGACGGGATTATCTTTCAATTTCATACATTTTGGTAGTGATATTCAAGCCATTTGTTCTGAGCGAATTTCATTTTTATAGCTAAGTGCTTTACGAAATATTCACTAGCATTAAGTGAACCAAACTATTATACTCTGTAGCAACATGTTGCAAGTGCATAAATTTATATGTATATATGTACATAGGTACAAATATAAAAAGAAATATGTGTAGATAAACAGTTTACACAATTGTTTTTAATAAATTAAATATTATATAAATTGTCACAGGCAATTCCACGCTGATAACGATCGCTAACAACTGAAAAAATCAAAGCATATATGAAGACAGTAACAACAACGCTCCAACACTGCAGCTAACGTCTTCTACTGATAATGGAAATCACTTTTGAATAGACTGTAGCAATACTAACAAATAGTAGATAGCAAGTAGAGCTACTCGTGCTAAGTAAACTGAGCGTAACTGAGCTTGCTCAGTGGCAGTGGTCTAAATGAGAGTGCAGCACATTATGCTAATACTACTCTCGGCACTTCAACTAGTTATAGTCGCCATTTGATGTGTCTCACTGACTGTGTGACTCTATTTCACGCGCTCCTAAAGGCAATTCATTTGTATGCGTCGCTCGTTTATAGACAACACATGTTAACAGCGAAATGCAGCGACAACCACAACAGCTAACAAAACTTTTCGTTACAACAAAAAAATGTAAAACAACAATTTTTAACAACAACCATTTTTAAAACAACAAATTTTTAATAGAGGCAGTATTTCACTACAACAATATTTTACAACAATAATTTTTTATGACAACAACTGTTTTCGACATCATTGTAGTGTGGGCCACTATATTTGTTGTTGTTATTTATCTACCAATGTATACGAAATGACATGGCCATGACGGCCTGCAGCAGCTGTGTTGGGAAGTGATAAGCGGCGTATTCCCTATGTGTGGGTGCTTGGAATTTTTTAGGAGGCCGGCCTACGTGATAGCTAGTTTGCAGCAACCTAGTAGATAAGCAAAACCTAATTTTAAAATACACACACTAGCAGCTAGCACGTACTTTCGTTGCATGCAGATTTACGCGCTCTCTGCGCCATTGATAACCATCGGGCTGCTGAGAAATAGGCCGGTTCATAGAAAAGAGGTGATTATACGCTGGTGTATGTTTGTATCTGGGAGAGTTTTTGTATGGGTGTGTGAAAATGAAAGAAGAGTCATAGCAACAAGTGCGTGGGCACTCATCAGAATTCAAATGCAGCGCCGGCTTACGCTCACTCGAGCGCGTTTAAGTATTTGAAGAGAGCGCGCGCATTTCGCTCACCTGTGTGTGCATATGTGCGCGCGCCTTCGTGTACCGGCAGCGTTGCAGCAGCATGTACAGTAGATCGGCAAGAACTTCACGCAGCGCGCCACCTATAATCAGACACATATACGCGCCGCGCTCACAGCTGCTTGCTTGTCTGACTTTTTGGCTTTATTTCGGTGAGCGCCTGCCGCTGTATGTGTGCGCGCTTGTGTGTTTACATCGCTCCGCTGCTTTTACTCACACTGCGTTGTTGTTGTTATTACTTGCCGAGTGAAACTAGTATCGGTACTAGCGCTCAGTCATGCACTTTTGTATGTATGTGTGTGGGTGCCTATGCTGCAYGCGCATTTGTGTGTGTGTGTGTGTGTAACGGCGTCTCTACCGCATTGCTGCTGCAGCAGTTAGAAGCCGATGGCACCTCTTTTATTTTGTTACTTTTGCTCCTTGTTGTTGGCGCTGCTGTCAATGCTGAGTTCGTGTGCGCGCGAGTGTGTTAGCGTGCGCGCTGTTGTCCGCGCAGCACAAATATACCCGCGCGCCTTTTCAGTTGCGATCAGTATTATTTATATAAAAGCATTGCCAACACGTTCACTTCAAGCAGTCGACTTCAGAACGCTTCTCAAACGAGAACGCGTGAAAATTTCATTTCAACGTTCAACACGCATCGTAGAAAACGGTACAGATTCACACACACACACACAGCCACAGCTAACTCATAAATGCAACAACAACAACACAAACGGGAAAATTTTAAAATAGAAATTAAATACGAAATTCTCGTGATCGCGTCAAAATAAATTTTGAGGAAAAAGTGATTTTCGGTTCGATCGTCGCCAAGTCGTGTGCGCTAATCAACGAATGCAAAGGTTGTAGCCAATCGTATTATCAACAACAACTGCTATCAAAGTCAAATTGGTTGCTTGTCGATTTACGTCATCGGCGCCTGTTGATTTCATAGCTTCGCGGCTAACACACGTTTTATTTGCAGTGCTGCTCAGTCTAACGCAGAAAGCGTAGAAAAACGTGCGCGTGTGCTACGGTATTGAGAAAAGTCGTAGCGAAAAGCTATATAAAATATATATGCCGTTTCAATTGAGTAGATAAAATTATATAAATATATTTGTGCAACAACAAAATATACTAACAAGTGACATTGCGTATAGCAATACATGAACGCATAATACAGCAATAAAAAAGCGTATTTTCATCTAAATCGCGCAAGTTTCAACTTAAGAACGGCAGCTGTAGCAGGAAAAATGGTGAAAAACAGGCGTTTTGAAAAAGGTAAAGCTTGGGAACGCGTTTTTGGGTGAAAGTATTATTAGCAAATTATTAGTAAATATTAAAGAATTATAATAATAAAATATTTTTTTTGTGTGCAAAAATGACAAACACAAAAGTTAGTGATATCTGTTTGAATTGATTATGAGTTCAATTTTTTTTTTGTTTAGAAAACTGTTTTGAAAAAAGTAATTTTTTTAATATCGAAATTTTTTGCTTTGTATTTCTTTTTACTTTGAAGTTTTGTTGCTTAAATATTTTGTAAAATGTATTTAACTTTTTTTTTCTTAAAAATTATTTTTTAACATTTTTTTAGTTTTAAACAAAAAACGATGTCAGGAAATTGCTAAGAAAAAATTAAAAATTTGTTCAATATTTTGTTAAAGAAATATAAAACATTTTTTTTTAATATTATTTGAAAGAACATGAAACACTTACATTTTTAATACATTTACTATTATATATAAAAATACCACATCAACAATTGCTCAACGTAATTTTCGCTGGCATTAGCCAGCTTTTGTTCAAAATATTTCAAGCTCACACGTGGTTAGGTTTGCTTATCACAACTTAAGTGGAACACAAACAAATACATAATTCGCAAATTTTGATGTAGATTATATTCTGTGCTAGATTTTTATTGTAGAAAGACAGCGATACTCGTATTGACGGAATACATTTTTGTTTCGCTAAAATGCAAAAAAAATTTTTTTAGCGAAAAAATGCAAATGTGAAAAATATAAAAATATAAAAAAGAAAATATTCGAAAATTATATATTTTTTTTAATTTTTAAAATTTTGGAAAAACTAAATATTGAAGCAGATGAAGCAGAAACATAGTTATTAGCAAAAACATGCAAAAGGAAAAATACATGATAATTAAAACAAAAATCGAAAAATAAAAATAATAATGCAGGCAATTCAGAAAACTTATTTGTTTGCGAAAACAAGTGGAAAAATAACATAAAAATTTAAACAAAATATTCAAAAATTAAGCAAATTAAAATTTTTTTTTTTTATTTTACAAGCCTTTAAAATATAATAACTTTAAATTTTATTTTAAAGAA